CTTGATCCCGTTCAGAGTTTAGCACAGCTGTTATGCTCGACTAAGCCAGACTGTAAACTATTGCCAGATAAAAGGGGTGAACTACCTTTCTTACCTTAGTCCCCTGTGCCGTCACTTGAGGGACAACCCCCCTCCCCTGTGATCCCATTTAAGGCAAGCGGTCACTAGTTACATTGCCGACCTGAACAATACCAGCTCCTGCAGGCCAGTAAACAGAGCCATGGCTTGGAGGAATGCAGGCAAATCTGGACAGTGCCTGAGTTGCTCCCTGGGAGCAAAAGCAGTATCAGAGCAGCTCAGATGGCCGGAGGTGGCCTATCTCCTAGCGGGTCTGTGCCCTGGTCAAAGCCAGGCTGAGGCAGCTGATTCCAACAGGTTACTCACGGGGAGAACCAGGGAGTTCCTGACCAAAGGGAATCAGAACAAAACAATCTGAGGTCCAATCGCTTCTCTGCTACACACATTTCTGACCGCAGGTTCCTTGACTGTAAAGCAGGGATCACAGGGTCTTCTGGGGGGAGGTGTCAGTTTCTTTGGTCTGGTAAAAGCTCACGGAGCATCTGGTCTGAAGAGCAACCGTAGCTCTTACCATGTCGGGTGATCCAGGGCCATGAATAAAGAGAGGACGTTCAAACAGTAAGAGCTTAGGGGTTTTGTCAAGGTCACCTAAGCACTTTCTGTCTGCAGCGGAGCTCATGGCAGGTTGGGGGCGGAGAACACCCGTGCCCAGATCCCCACCCCCACCACGCCAGCAGTTACCCAGCTCTGGTAATTACCTTGTCCTGGTAATTAAAGAAGCAAGATGCAAGGCAGCCAAGAACATTTTGTTTGTAAAAATCTGCTTTTTTGGCTTTCCCTGGTGGCGCAGCGGGTTAAAGCACAGCACTGAGAAGCTAAAGCCACTTCCGCATGAGTTCGATCCGCCTGCCCCAGAGGAGACCACATGGTGTGGCAGACCTCTCCTGACCCGCCCGCTGCTCCCCTCAGCAGTGGACTTCGTCGATCTGCCTGTTCTGCTTCCCGCTCTGTCTCTGGTGAATCCTCTCACCCTCCGCATCGCTGGCCTGTACCCCAGTTCTGTATGAATAAAAAAAAAATCTGCTTTTTTATTAAAGTGAATTGTGAGATCCACCTGTTATCCGTCATCATTAACCAAAGGCATTTTAATTTCAGCAGCTTTGGTTAAAGAGCTCAAGATCTGCGGATACCTTGGAAAGTCGGGGCGGTCCAGTTCTGTTTCCCAGCCGCCTTCCTCTGAGCGGGCTGCGCTGGGTGCGCGCTTTCCAGCCTTGGGGTGCGGGTGGGTTGGGGTTCCCTCTTCTCACCTCTCTCGGCTCAGGGCCGGGCTCGCCCTTCAAGCTGGGCAGCAGCGCCCTCTGGCGGCCCAGGCTGTTCCCAGGCAGCTTCTCTCATTGGCAGGCGCCAATGTCTTCAAGTCAAGGTTACTCACAGGCTCCAGAGAACCATTGAAAGGTGCAGAGGGTCTGCCTCTGTGTCCCTTTACTCTGTCACCGACCATCTGTGTGTGCCCTCAACAGCTTCTGCCACCTCTCTGGGTCTCTGTTTCTTCAATTAAAACGGAGACAATTACCATAAATCACCGCCACTTTTCACATGTAGGATTCCAAAGCTTGTGGTTCGAGGCAGCTATTTATTCGACCAATATTTACTTACAGTATTTAGTTAGCAAATAATTGTCAAGTGCAGAGGTTCATCGGAGAGCACATCTGTGCTTTCCTGAACCTTAAACTTTAGCAGGAAGGGAGAATTAATATGCGATAAAAAGCACTTGCACACCAGAAGCTGATTGATTGGGGCGGGTGAGGGGCAGGCACACAGAGCCGGGATAGGGGTGTTGGCAACGGTGGGGTGTGGGCAGGGCATATAACAGGACCTCAGGCCCTTTGCCCTCGAGGGAAAGAACTCCACAGAGAGCTGCAGGGAGGAGGAACCAGGCACAGCTTTCTGAGAGACAGTCATGAGGGAGCCAGCAGGGGAAAGGAGATTATCCTGGGTCTCAGGAGGGAGTTAGGGGGTATGTAAAAGGTCCCCATGGGGGCAAGGCGAGGAGTTTCTTCGCTTGTTCTAGGTTGGGCTACACCGAGGTGGGCAGTTACACTCCTGGGAAAATGTGTGGGTTCTCTGTCTTCTCCCTCCAGGAGACAGCGAACCAACCACTGGTGAGGAGCTAAAGCTTATTGTCTGTCATGGAACCTCCTGGTCAGTGGGGGGCTGACTTGTTCAGAGGGGGCTCACCAGTCTAAGTTTTAGCCCACCTGCTCAAACAGGACTTGGGAAAGCTCATCCTGCTGGCTCACAATTTCTTTTACCTACGATGTTTCAGGGAGAAGCTAAAGGATGGCGCAAAGACAGGGCTGAGGGGTCTCCCATCAGCAGAGAACTGAGGGGGAGGTGAGTCAGACAGACTTTCTAGGAATAAGCCCTTCGGGTTGAGGAAAACCCCATGAGGTCAGATGTGAGCTTGACTGAAAAGAAGAAAGCTGTGTCTGAATTTAGTGACAAAAGGGCGTAATGTTGGGGGACCAGATTGGAATCAGGGGTGATTACATAAATCTTGTAGGTGTGAGGGCACATAGGAAATCACCTCATATTCCTCTTGGGTCTTCTAGGGTGGAAAATCATCCAACAAACATCAGACAGGTAAAGAAGAGGAAAAAGTCAAAAAGACGCTGAATAACATGCTTACCTCCTGCACACACGGAAAAGACCCCTCATGACAGACTGACCCATGTGGTTCTGACACGAACAGGGGAGCTCTGTTGGGGAGTTCACCACGGAAGGCACAGCAAACGAAAGGTCTGCACACTCCCAGGTCTGCCTTCTCAGTTGAAAAGAGAGGAGGAGGCCAGGTCTCCAGGGAGGCCCTTCAGAGAGAAGTTTGTGTAAATAGAGTTTACAAAAGCAACCTCCTCCGAGCTGTCAGAAGGCGTCCCATGAGATCAACCTTTTGCTTAAAAGATGTACTTTGGGTGGCTCATGGTTGCTCCCCTACACGGACAGTGGTAAGTTGCAGTTCAGTTGGTCACACACTCCAGGTCTCCTGGAGTCCTTCGGTGCTGGACTCACCGATTTGACTAGGATCTGTCAAAGAGCAGATGTGACAGCTGAGCTCCAGGCGCCTTCTCCGCGGCTTGCGGGGTGCTGAATGAAGAATGGGGAGTAGCGCTTGCCCCTGGGCCCCAGGATGAGCGTCCAGACCCACGCCTGAGCCTCATCCCATGTACACGCTCGCCTGTGCTCCATGGAGAAGCTGGGCCTAGTTTACTCCTCATAGTTAGGAAAGCATATCCTGAGGTCTCCAAAAAGAGCTATGTGGCTAGTGAACAACTGCATTTTTTTTCCTTAGCTTAATCAAGTCTATGTTCTTTATAACTTTTAAGGAAATGTAACCGAAATATCTGCATAGGAAGTCAGATTAGATCAGTTCCATACATCCAGTCAAGAGTTCCTAAAATTATGAGAAAAACCTAACTTTTTGAAGTTGAACTATTGGATTTTAGGAGTCAGCTTGAGATCAAACTTGAGGTTTTTTTTAATGGCTACTTCTTTAAAATAATGCAGGGCTTAAGTTCTTCATTTCTATCCCCACCCTAAGAATATATGGAGTGTCCCCACTTACAAAATGGACTGCAAAAGTAAAGCATAGTGATTTCTAAATAAATCTAACATGGTAAAGCTTCTTTAATAAGGTCCATTAAAAGAATATGGATTAAATGTAATTTACACTGGTTAAAAGTGTAATTAAGTAGACTTGAAATACTCTATCCATCAAAATTTGAAATACAGGTATTTTTAATGTAGCAATTTCACATGCTAACTGACTGAAGAATATTCATGCAGCTTTTTTTTTTACTAACACAAGTATCCTTTCAAAAAGTAGCAGTTAAAGAAATGATCTGTGTTCTATAATATTATGCAACCTTTAAAAAACGTAGGGCTATTGAGGTGAGAAAATTTCCCAAGATATATTGAATTTAAAAGCAGGGTAAAGAATACACTATTATCCTATGTGGAAAAACACATATATAATCATATTGTCAAAAGCACAGTATTTTTAAAAGATATGCAAACACTGGTTATAATATCTAATCTACAGAAAGATAAGTAATCAGCAGAGAAAGAGGGTCATTTCTGATTTTACTTCAAGTGAATTTTTGTATTCTTCTAAGAATACTCCTTCTTAATAAAGAGGTTTTAATATTAATATTTAAAAGGGATTTTTGATCAGTTGATTAATTTCTAGGATATCCGGACTTACATTGTTTTCCCTCTCAATGGAGGACTTTTACCACTTAACTGTAATATTGGCCAATCAACCACCCACATGAACTCCTGACTTGAAATGAGGGGCTTGGCTTAGAGATGACTTCCACAAGTTTCTTTCAAGTCCAAGATACTGTGATTGTACAACTTCCTCTCCTGATTATGTAGTAGTTGAAAAAATGCAACAAGAATTGAAATATGTGTCGAATAATTTGGGGGAGATGGAGAAAACAACTGCACCCAATTAACTATGTTCACCGTATATTTGCTTCTTAAACCATGCTTAGTAAGTTCCCTTTGATTCCTATTCCATTTCTCCTTAAAATACCCAACCAACAGCAAAAGAGGCATATTCAACTGAAGAAATTTATTTACTTTTTTCTAGATACATAGATGACATAATTATAGACAAGATTTGATACATAGGAAAACCCTTCTGTCCACCTCTCTTTTTGCTAAATGAATCATCACAATAATTTTTACAATTTTTAAAACAATACACAGCGTTCCTGGGCTGAAGCAATTGCAATAACATATTGGTACTGGTATATTACAGCTACTTACAATGTTTAAGAACAGCAATGGAGAAAAATAAGTTATTTAAATATTGATTTCATATACAGAAAGTGCAATGCTGTTAGTTGTTATATAACTTGCTTGACAGTTTGTTTTCTCTATCAATTTAAAATCAAAATAACTTGGACTCAGACTATCTGTTTTTTTTTTTTTCCAAAAATAATACAGTACACACATGCAGCCTTGTCTGGGTGAGCTGACTTCTTTGCTGCAGTTAGGAAAGCAAACTTTGCTATGCCAGCAACTTAATTCTAACAGACGAGCAATCTCCAAGTTCACCCATATCTGGGTTCAGGACAGAGAAAGGGGCCTCTGACTAAGGCAAGGCCATGGGAATGCATCTGCTCCTTGGCTGTCTGGGAAGGCGAATGTGTCTTGGGCTGGCTGCATTCCTTCTGACAGCTTCAAAGTAAAAATGACACAGTGAAGGTGAAGCTACCTGAACCAGGTCGCTTTTGTGCTTTCCAAGGACTATTCTCACTGTTCCTCAACATTCCCGACCAAGTGCAACGAGCTAAAACTGGGTATCGCTGAAGCCCCGCCCCCCCTGTCCTGTCAAGTTCCCAGGCAGCCCCCAACCACCTCAGTCAAATGTCACGCACAAACATTCTAGAATCGAATTAAACGTTGAAAGCAAAAGAAGAACAAAAATGACTACAAGATTCAAAAACAAAAGTTTCAAAAGAAGTACACTAAAGTAAAACCAAGCTCAGACCACTCAGGTTAGGAAGACCTTCCCACTGACAATTACTCATGGTCCCTGAATTTGATTTTTCTAGGCAAAGGCATTCAATTCCAAAAAGGAGTGACAAAAATACAGTTTGGCAGTCTCAAAAACTCAAACTCAGAACGTTCCCTTTCCTGGTGCCACTTTATTGAAATGGAAATCTTACACTGAAAATGAACTAAAATTTGGAAACGCACGAAGGGTCTCCTCCTCTGTTACCTGGCCCAGCACACCTGTCTATTTGCTCAGTTTATACAGTGAGCAGGACCCTCCCGATGAGTAATTCAAACGCAGGAGGAGGAGACAACTTGTGGGCACCCAACCCCACTACAGCACTGAAAATATAGCTCAATCATGCACGAGAAGCCTGCAGCCTCGTTCCTCTCCAAATGGGCTCTACTTGCTGGGATGTCATGACTGGAGATGAGAAAAATGGGCTGTTGTTACGAGTTCAATAGAAACTTGGCAGCTTTGAGCTTTTTCCTCTATACCTCCACCGCTTCACATGGCATCTCGTAGAAGGTGAGTATTACTGAAGAAACACCTATTACTTTAAAAGCATACTTTAATGCATGGGAAAAAATGTTACCACCTGAGAATGTCTTTTTCCTCAGAAACAGAAAGCAAATGCTAACGATGGCTTCGTAAGCAATGAAATTACTTCTTTGTTCCCTGAGGGAAAGCATGTTTTAAGGAGTTGATGAAATATTACAGAATTTTCACCAAGGCTTCGTGTTCAAAGTGTTTCTATGATAAATGATCACTTTCAGAACCTAAGAGTGTTTATGATGAGAATGAAAAGGAAAATCGTCATGGAAGTAATGGAAACCTTAATACGTAGTTGTCGTTTGCTAGAAAATCGGTCACTAGACTAAAAAAGACTGAAATCTGTCGAAAAACAATTGAAAACGGGCATGACTTACAACATGGCTAACGTGGTTGGTTTGGCTCCGTATGGACTTTCACTGGAATTAAAAGAATTGTCTAAATAAAAAAGGAAAACAGTATCTTCACTGTAAAACTGGAAAAAAAAAAAACCTTGAAAAAATCTCTTATAAGCTACTTCTCTTTACAAAAAATAATCTTTCTAACTATTCATCCTAAGAATGACTTGTTGCAAAGGTCATCTGCTAGCTACGGCTGAATAATGGAACGGACATGGGCAGGGCCGGGTTGACGCCACAGCATGAAGACAACATGGAATCAACATCAAATTGGCTAAAGTGAAAGTAATTGCCACATGCATGCACACGTGTGCGCACACACTGTCTGTGAGTTTCAGATAGCATCTTACTGGATCTGTATGCAGCTTAAAAACTGAAAGCCGACATGAAATTTGTGTCTGAAAAATACACTCACAAATTAAGCCATGTTAGCATAAGACAGTTAGAAAAGCCCATTTTTGCTGAAAACATCCCAGGTACATCAGATGGCAGCTTAAGCTGAAGAGTTGGGACTATGGTTACAGGGCAGTGAACACTAGTTAAGTAACTGCGTAAAAGCTTATATTAAGGCAAATAAAAGCTGATTGTGAGAAAGCAATTATTAAAACGTCTCTTGTTTATCTAAAGGAGAATAGGATTTTTTTCCCAACAGCAGCCAGATTTTCTTACTTTGAACAAATGAGCGTGGTAGTGGTGCACAGTCACTCCCCAGCCTGTTCCTCTGGCCTACCTACAACCCGCCTGGCCTCAGGGGTCCCGCAGGTGACAGACAGAAGGGCGAGGGCACTCAGATCGGAACAGGCCACCCCACCCCCCCTCTGCTTCCGGCCCCCTGTCCCACGGACAAGGACAGACTGGAGGCACCGATTTTGTGGCAAGTTGGCATCTTGGTTCTTTTGTGTTCCAGAAATAAAAATAAGTGCTTGTCTTTTCTTTGGGGGTCAAAGAGAACCTCATCAATGTTCTCGAGGGTGCTATTCTGGAGAACAGAGGGCCATGGGTCCTGTGCCAAGCTGTCGCGCTCTGGCCACACACTGGGCCTTTCTTCTGGATCTGGGCTGCGTGTCCAGTGGAGGAAGAGTCCCATCAGCACTGAAGCGCAGAGACAGCATGGCTCTGGTCCAGAAGGTCCATGTGGGGGTCTGGCTACATGGCCTCAGGGCCTGGCGGCAGTTTGAAGAGTCTGGCTGCAGACACGAGCTTGCTTATGTGTCTCTCCTCTGTGATGCCAGCCTCCTGAAGGCATGTGTGTGACAGAGAAGGCACGTGGCCCAGCGTGCTGAAGCCCGCTTCCGTGAGGGCGCTGGTGTACATGGGCAGACCGATGGAAATGAGCCAGTCTGACAGGGACGAGACGCAGCCCGGAGACAGGGGCTTCCTGCAGAGCTCGGTGAGCCCACCGCTTGGGATCTAGGGAAAGAAAGAAAACGTCTTTATATGATTCTCCATGTGCCACGAAGGCCATTTTTTATGTGCCTAAAAGGGACGATATTGAAGGATAACAGCTCAGCTATCGTGAAATGAGGATGCCAGGTGATGACAGGACCAAGAGTAGCATCAAGAATTCTGCCTCGACTTCTCAAGGGGGGGAGGGATCGTCAAAATGTGTGAGGCATCTGGAATCGGGTCTAACCCCAATTGCGCGCCCAAGTCTCCAAACGGCAGCATTAATATTTCTGGCTGTCTTGTCCATGGCGATTAGCTCGTCAGGGAGAAACTTTCCTGTGCAATAGTGCGAAAGCTAAGATTCTGAATGGGGGCCCTCCCTGGTGGCACAAGGGTTAAAGCACAGCACTGCAAACTGGCTGCAGCCGCTTCAGTGTGAGTTTGATTCCAGCCTGGAGGCGACCACATGGCGTGGCAGACCTCTCCTGTCTCGCCCGCTGCTCCCCTCCGCAGTGTACTCTGTCAATCTGCTTGTTCTGCTCCCCACTCTGTCTCTGATGAATCCTCTCACCACCTGTACCCCAGTTCTATATGAATAAATAAATCTCTAAAAAAAAAAAAGATTCTGAATGGGTGATGAATGAGGGAGACTTTCCTTTGTATTTTGAATCTACATTAACCAACAGAAAAGAAACTATCTCATTAACACATTTATAAGGAATCATCTCAAGGACAGGCTCGGTAGGAATGTGGAGACGTCATCTATACTTGTTTTCAGGGAAAGGCACTGCTCTTAGAAAGGTGACTTAGTCACACATGTGCAAAACCTGGGGATTTTGTACCGTCTTGAAAACACAAACCCTCTTGAAGGAATGAACCTTAGAAATTAACCTTAAAAGACATTCTTTAGGCCCTCCCTGGTGGCGCAGCAAGTTAAAAGCACAGCACTGAGAATCTAAAGCCGCTTCCGCATGAGTTCGATTCCCGCCTGCCCCGGAGGTGACCACGTGGTGTGGCAGACCTCTCCTGACCCGCCCGCTGCTCCCCTCAGCAGTGTACTTCGTCGATCTGCCTGTTCTGTTCCCCGCTCTGTCTCTGGTGAAGCCTCTCACCGCCCCTGAGCCTCTGGCCTGTATCTCAGTTCTGTATGCACAAATAAATAAATCTTAAAAAAAAAAAAAAAAAGACATTCTTTATTATAGTGAAAAATGTTGGGGAAAAAAATCTGTTGCAGACGAGGATCAGCTCAGGATACATTCACCTGGCGGGACACTTGAAAATAGGGAAAACCTGAAAGAAATCTAGTAACAGAGACATAAGTCCATGATCTGATAACTGAAAACAACTGCAACACTGTTCTTTTGTCTTATGTGCAGAAAAAGGACTAGAGGGGCTTTTAAAAACTTTCATAGTAGGGCCCTCCCTGGTGGCGCAGCGGGTTAAAGCACTGCACTAAGAAACTAAAGAGCCGCTTCCGCATGAGTTCGATTCCCGCCTGCCCCGGAGGTGACCACATGGCGTGGCAGACCTCCCCTGACCCGCCCGCTGCTCCCCTCAGCAGTGTACTTCGCCGATCTGCCTGTTCTGCTTCCCGCTCTGTCTCTGGTGAATCCTCTCACCCTCCGTATCTCTGGCCTGTACCCCAGTTCTGTACGAATAAATAAATAAATCTTTAAAAAAAAAAAAAACTTTCATAGTGCTCGGATAATCTGCACTTATTTAAATTTCCAAAATCGAACAAAAATCTTTTGTCGGAATCTGTGTCTTGCCCTCAGTGTCTCCTCTGGAGAGACGCAGGGACCTCCGCGTCTGGCCCATCTAGCACGTCACTGACGCGACGTCACCTGGGCGCCAGGGAGCCCGGGCTGCAGCCACTCACCGCCATGCGGTGCTGCTTCCGCAGCTGCTTCACGCGGATCTGGTCCATGTTGGTGGCCACGTCCCTTTCCGGCTGCTCCAAGTCTTCTGCGTATCTCTGCACCAGGGCTTCAGGGATCCCACAGCGCCCGTGCTGCCGGGAGAGAAACGTGCGTCAGGGTGAGACATCTCACCAAGGGAAACAGCACCCCAAGTTTTAATTTTCAGTAAATATCTATATTAGAGCCAGGAGGGAGGTTTCAGAGGTGCACTTTTACAGCTTCGCCTTGCAGTTTCAGGTATAGACGTGCATTAGGAAAGCGTTTTGAGGTATAATGAAAGCAGAACATAGCCATCCTCTCTTTCTTGGCCTGACGCCCTCACCTTGCTCTACCTTATTAATTTACAAAATGTTACTGAAGTCCGCCGCTGAACAGTAGTGCAGGAGGCACAGTGTGGGCCTCATCCCTGAAGTTACACCGACAGCAGCTGGTGTGGTTCCTGTAGAATTCTCACTCCTTTCCACTCACAGGGTGTGTTCAGTAGGTGTCAAGGAGGGGAAAGTGGGGGATCTTACTGCAAGGCATCAGTGGCCCTAAGAATTTTATGACCAGTGTTCCCAGCTGCATCACAAAAAAACACTCATTTCCAGCATAACATACAGCTACATCTATTAACCTCCACGTGTCTGCAGCCATTATAGTGTTGGTAAGTCTGTGCGTTCTTTTTTTTTTTTTTTATAAACAGGAAATGCTTTTTTATTATAGATCTCAATGGTTTTGGTTCAATGGGAGGGTTTATATTATCTTTCCCCCTTGGTACTCAATTATGATTACATCTGAGTAGAGCCCTATGATTTTCAAAATATGTTAGCATTTAATACGACTCAGAGATAGTTGTGCAAGCTGCGCTTAAACCCATTTTACACACAGAATACGCTGGGGATCTTAACGTCTAAGCACACACACAATGAGTGAGGCATGGAACTAGGAATTCGGGTCTGTCTTTTCCACATAACTTTCAGGAAGCAGCGCTAGCACTGACAGTTCTCCCTGCAAAGTATAGCTGCTGAAAGTCAAAAGCAAATGAGCAAAGGAAGGACAGAGAAGAGAAAAGGGAAGGGAAGGAGGTAGGGGCCAGAGAGGAAGAGCAGGGCGGGGCAACTCGAGCGCGTCTCTGCATCACTCTGGCCCTGCGCACCCCGCTCATCCCCACTGGACCCTGAGGGATCACCCTCCCTCACACAGACCAGGGGCCTGGGTCCCCACGCGCAGCTGGCGAAAGTGAAAGTGAAAGTCATGCAAGGCCCAGGGGTACCTTGTCAGAATAGGGCTCCTCCGTGAGGTCGATGCCTTCGGCCCGGAGCTTGTTTTCCGTGAGCATTTCCAGATCCACGCCCCGCACACAGGAGACCTTCCTGGTCCCCGCGGGGCCCAGCCTCACGCCGTGCTCCTGCAGGCTGGCGCTCTCAGGAAGCTCGGCCAGCCAGGGCGGCCGTCTTGCGGTCAGGGGGCTGCCCGGCTCCTGTCCTGAGGGGGGCCTGGCCGCCTGGGCTGGGGGGCAGTCGCCGGGGCTGCAGCCCCTTTTCACCGGCAGGCTGGGCGCTTCGGGAGCGGCAGGCCCGGGGGCGCCCGGGGGGAGTCCATTGGCGAGGCGCTCCCTGCTCTTTTTGGCGGGCACCGGTGGAGGCTGCGAAGGCGTCTTTGCCTGAGTCCTCGCCTCCGGGGACCTCTGCTCAGCATCTCCCCCGTCTCTGGGGCTCGGGGGATGACAAGTTTCTCCGAAATTGAGGCCTTTCCTAAGACCCTCGAGGGGCGTCCTTGTTAAACTGTGCTTAGCTGCGGGAGGGCACGCCTCAGAGTTTGGGGGCACGCACGGAGGTGACGCGCCCTGCGCAGAGGCTGCGCTTGGGACATCCAGTTTCTTAGGAGTCACTTTCTGAGATTCGGAAAATCTCTTGCTTTGGGTCAGTAGCGATGCATTGTCAACAGCAGCGTCTCGGCCGGGGCCCGGCACCGTGGCGGCGCTGGGCGCTGTCTTCTGTGGCACTTCTGGTACAGTCTGCGCAGAGGCTGCTGGCACGGGGCGGGCCGCGCCTTTCTCGGCCTCGGGCTCTCCTGGAAGGTCATCCAGGGAATGAGATCGGGGCCAGGCTTCCACGGTCTGGGGGTCCTCCAGGGTCTCACAGCTCCGGCAGATGGAAACGGGCAGGCTCCTTCGGTTTTGATTCAGCCCCGTCCCGCACGGCTGGACACAGGGCTTGGCCGCGTGAGGGGCCCGGGCGCCGCCCGGCCGGCCCTCCTCGCCTTGCGCCAGCCCTTCCACCGGCTTGGTCAAAGGCAGCGTTGGGTAGTTGCCCATCTGAGTCTTGTGGAAAGACTTCAAGCTGGACTCGGCCGATGACTTGGCAGAGAGAAGGGCAGCTTTCCGAGTCTTGCCTGCATGACAAGGAAATATTTTACAACTGGTCTCAAAAAGAAAAAAAAAAAAAATCCATCCCAAGGATACATAAAGGTGTGCTGACATCGCTGAAAAGCCCAGTTCCTAAAGCTCATGGATGACTTCCACAGAGGACGTAAGTCACTATTTCTGACAGGGATGACAGAGGGCCACTGCAGCACCATTTTTATTTTTAGAAGAATTCTAAGCTTCATGAGAGGACTGAGGGAGACTCAAATTAATTGAGTCACGTGTGGTCTTAGGCAGTAAAATAAATCTAGGGTCACATCTGCTCCCACTGAGTCAGTGTGGAAGGAGAGGGTAGCCAGCTCATATCCTCGGAGAAACCACACTGATGGGACTTCGGCTGAATGAGGTCAGGGACGCTGTACTGAAATCCCTAAGGGTCTGTGCTGATGCAAGGCCCCCACCAGGTTCCCTGATGATAAGTGAGTTCTCACATTACACTTTCCTCCAGCCTTCGAGGTGTGTTACTGTGCATGAAATGATTGTGTCCTGGAGACAAGTGACCATGGTACAAACAAGTAAAGAAACTCGAGTATTTGCCAGTCAGTCTATAAACACAGCTATGGATCAGGCCCCCGTGGGGAAGCCACAGGCCTGATTAAGACAAACTGCCAGACTGACCACTGACCTAGGAACCAGGCATAAGCTACCCGTGGACGCTGCTGGCATGTTGTCTGCCGCGGCTGCTGGTAAGCGCCCCCAGAACCCGCGATCCTGTAGCAGGCAGGCTGTTTTAAACGCAAAGTTCTCATGGATTTTACACACATTTCCACGTGTGCATGCATGATCCACCCCAACTGGTAAGAACACTTTGAGTGGCAGCGGCCCCCACAATGCTCATTAGAATTGGGATCAAGATTAGGCTAGCAAGACCCCTGGGAGGGAAACTTCCTAACTTGGAGGTGACTGCTCCCCCTTGCTCACCTCCGTCTGGTCCTGGTTTGGGTGCCCACAGTAGCTTTTAAGCTTTTTTTAAACAAAATCATGACCTGGGCCCTCCCTAGTGGCACAGTGGGTGAAAGCACAGCATTATGAGCTACGAAAGCCACTTCAACCCAAGTTTGATCCCGGCTAGGGGGTGACCCACATGGCGTGGCAGCCTTCTCCTGATGTCCGCTGCTTCCCTTGGCAGAATATTTCAGTCTATCTACGAATGCTTCCTACTCTGTCTCTGGTGGATCCTCTCACCCCGGCTCCTCTGGCCTGTACCCCAGTTTTGTATGCATAAACAAATCAATCTTTAAAAATAAATGAAAAAGATGCTTTTAAAGTAAAAAAAAAAAAAAAGTGATGACCCACAGTAAGAATACATCGTACATTCATCATCAGCACCCTACACACACACATCTGAAACGAAGATTACTAATCTGACCTGTGCACACACTGGTAATTTATTTTTTTTATCTCATCCTAGAAAATCACGATTCACGACCTTCCAGACTGATTCGCAGCTCCCTCGCGAATTGCAGCCTGCAGTTTAAAAAGCTCAGCTGGAGAAAAGTGCTCAATAAATATTTTACCTCCCGGTTACTCCTTAGAATGCCAGTGCAGATACAAGCTCTCTGCCCTGCGCACGGTTCATCATGGCCTGCAAGTGCTGTGGGCCCCGCCACGGCTTTTTCTGATCTGGCTGGAAGGGTACTTTGGGTGTCCATGACAGAAACCAGAGTCGCCTGTGGTAACACTGGATGTGCCTGACCCCACCCCACCTCGGGCTTCTCCTCCGGTCGAGACAAGTGAGCTTTCTGAAATGTCCTAGCGACCTTTAGGACAGGGATGCACAGGCCAGACATGGGGTGTCCTGGGAGCGCCCCTGCTCTCCACAGCTGCCTGGAACCAGGTCCTGGAGGAGGCATCCGGGCAGCTCGCCTCCCGCGGCCCTGATGAACAGGCTCCTGGCAAATGGCTCCCCTTCTGTGCCTAATAGTTCCTAACACTCCAGTTTGGTTTTTATTGTGAAAATAAAAGGACCTAGGAGACACACAATTTAGGTTTTACACTGGCAGGTATTTCAGATGGAATTTATTCACCTCCACAGTCATTGGGAGGTAGAGATAGCACAGGCCAACGACAGATGAACAGTGAAGAGGGCAGAAGAGAAAAGCACTCTACAGGAAAAAACAAGGACTTTTGTCCCTCTTTCAACTGAGTCCTAAAGACTCACATATAAGATGAGCCTCACAGAGTCTGGGTGATAATCATAACTGCATACACCAGCGCCTCGCCAACCTCACCCACTGCCGTGGTGATGCTTAATAAATCAGTGCCAGGCATGATTGAGGTAATATTATTTTTTTGATTCTTAGGACAATTTCCAAAGGGAGAAACTTCTATTACCAATTCAGAGGGGAGGGGGCTCTTTGACACTAGTAATCTCAGCCCAGTCTTCAGCGACGCCCTATTCAGGATTCAAGCCCCAGGCAGGATGCAAGCCCCAGGCCTCCTCGCTGGAAGCCCAAGACCCTAAGGGCCACAGGACAACGAAAGCATGGGATCCCCCTTCTCTTTGTCTTCGACTCTTCTCCCCCGTGAGGGAAGGAAGGATACCCAGCTGGGAGACCGGGACACAGGTGTCTCCTAAAACATCAGCTGCCCAGGCTGCGGGATGTCCGTCTTTCCCGAGGGTCTGAACTGGGCACACAGCACCCTGGGCCTGGCCCCTCCCCACTGCCAGCATTCTCAGAGGCAAGAGAGATGGCCAGCGGCCAGAGCATAGATGTCCAGAATGCCCCGGGCCTGCACAGCAACTTGCACCCCTGGGACATACCATTTTCCAGATTCTCACTGCTTTCGTAGCACCCAGAGTCTCTCGGCGAGCACCCCCTCAGGCCCTGGCTGTCCACAAGCAGCTTCTCCTGGGATCCCGACTGGTCGCTGTTACCTAGGCAAAAGGACACATCACAGGACTCAGAAGGGGATGGGAAAGCAGGGGCTTCCAAGTCTCTCAAACCCCCCCCCAAGTCCCATCTCCTCAGTTTCCACCCTATATTTTAATTCTTGGACTTTCAAGAATGGATTATTTTTAAGTAAGTGAGATAAACACGAGCATGTTTTCTTTTAGGAATAATGTCTCAAGTGCAGAGAAGATGGAGGCGAGAGTTGGACTTCATCTTGCCTGTGGACCACACTGGGGGTGACTCTGACCTCAGGCCAGGAGTGAGCGGACACATCCAGAGCTGCCTCCTGAGGGAAGCGAAGTGGGGATAAATGCGCCTTTCACGAGGAGGTGTCGGGTCATGCGCTTTCTAGAGATTTCTAAGATTGCGCTTCTAGTTCTTTGTGACCAGCCTTCCAAAACTGGGAGCTAACTGAAAAGCGAGTGGCAAATAGAACGTCAACTTTTATTACAATTTAGGAGCATTCTCAGCCCTCGGGGACACGCGCTGACTCCTGTATTATTTCAGCCCGAGTGTGGTTGGCAGAAAAAACCCAGAAGGATGAGAAGCCAGAGGCGCATCTTTAGTGTCTGTGTCTTGGAACTCTGCTCTCCTTGCTGCCTTCCTTTGTCTGGATCAGCATGCTCCTGCCTGGACACTGAGAAAGGGGAAGCCCACAAGCCCTCCGTGTACAGAATGTCCACGTCCTACGGCCTCTTCCACAGCCCCAGGTGTGTCCGTGAAGGGAAGGTGCTTAGAGGTTGCTCAGGCCTCGGTCACCCCACAGTGCTGCCCTCGGGTTCCAGAGAGAGGACTCGCGTGTCCTGCCCTGGGGTGGAGGTTCCACCAGGTAGCTCTTTTGTTATCATCTGGAGTCACTGCTTGGTCACATAAAACAGAAACTATTCTCTACATAAAATGACGAGTTCCATGATGAACGGCTTGATTTTTTTCCCTCTTTCCTTCCCTTTCCCCCTCCACCAACGCCAAGGAAAAAGAAATCAATAAACCAGAAACCCGAAGCCTTACAGCAGTCATTTGAGAAAATAAAAATTGCAGCGAGGCAGAGGACTGCCATTCCGCACGACAGCTACCCCACTGTCCGCCTGCCACGTGGCCCCCATTTCTCAGGCGGGCAGCTTTGAGCCCAGAAATTGCGGGAGAACAAGTTCTTCAATGAGAGCCCTACACCGAGCGGTGCTAATTTTAAAGTGATTACTGACCGTTAACTAATTAGAAGTCTGAGACCAAGCCTTGTCCTCTCCCCCACACTCAAAGTGGAACATTCTAGAGTAATGTCCTCATTGTGTGGAAGAGGCTGTGGATTTGGAAAGGCCTTTGTTCTAGCCTACCATGTTATTTAGGAAAGTGATACTTATAAAATGAGGGCTTTGAACTATCAGTTTCAGCCCAGGAGGAGGAATTGATTCAGTGTGTCCTTGGCGAGACAGTTTGGGCCCGCTGCGGCCAGACAGCAAAGTGCTGACCGATGGGAATAAAATGGAAAATGCATCCTCGCCCCCTACAAATGCAGGCTTTGTCCGCCTCTTTGGGGGCAGCCAATCTCACCAAACACAGCAGCCCAAAGACATGATGGGGAGCAAAGGGGTCTCTTAGATGGTGTGAAAAACAGTTCAACTTTAAAAAATCACTATGTGGCCCTCCCTGGTGGTGCAGCAGGTTAGAGCACAGCACTGAGAAGCTAAAGCCACTTCCGCATGAGTTTGATCCCCGCCTGCCCCGGAGGTGACCACATGGTGCAGCAGACCTCTCCTGACCCGCCCGCTGCTCCCCTCAGCAGTGTACTTCCTCTATCTGCCTGTTCTGCTCCCCACTCTGTCTCTGGTGAAGCCTCTCGCCTCCCCTGAGCCTCTCTGGCCTGTACCCCAGTTCTGTATGTACAAATAAAAAAAATAATAATAAATCTTAAAAAAAAAAATCACAATGCTATAGTCACTTTCTTTCTAAAGGATCCAATCAGCAGCTACCTAGCAGGAATCCCACGATCAAGGTTGGCAAAATTCCCCAAAAAGCACAAGTCAGTGCTTCCTAAGTAGGCTGTCCCCCCTCATTAGTGAGAACAAAGAGGTGGTATCCCAGAATGTGCTGCAGGTCCAAGGCCATGTCGTCTTCCCACACTTACCAGCGTGAACACCATGGCACAAAGAATCAGAAAGGAGTGGCTCCATGAAACATCCTCAGTCAAGTACAGACAAAGGGCTGTGGCTAAAATCCCATTGGGGCTTGACCTGAACACGGGCTTCGGGGGACTTGGCTTAGGTAAAAGTTCTCCCAGGTACGTAACACACTGGTCCACACACCAGCCAGAGGAAATGTGCTGGATGGTGAGATACCCAGCATCAACACCGGGGGGCAGCGCTCCCGGGTGGGGCTCTCGGATCACTGGCCATTCAGTGGGCTCACCGTGTGTATTTCTTTAATAAATAAGGATCGAAGCAAAGTTTCCAAATGCATTAGCTCAATTTAGGAAGGAGATCTGTGGATTTATTTCATTTTTCTCTGTACATGTCTTCACATATTTTAAAAAGAGCCGATTAAAGTTGTTACAAACAAGATTTTCTTAGAAGAGTTTTCATGGGCCCTCCCTGGTGGTGCAATGGGTTAGGATGCAGCACTGCAAGTAAGGTGCAGCCGCTTCAGTGAGAATTTGATCCCCAGCCTGAGAGGTGACCCACATAGTCCGGCAGACCTCTCCTGACCTGCCCGCTGCTCCCCTCAGCAGTGTACTTCATCGATCTGCCTGTTCTGCTCCCCACTCTGTCTCTGGTGAAGCCTCTCACCACCCCTCACCTCTGGCTTGTACCCCAGTTCTGTATGCATAAATAAATCTTTAAAAAAAAAAAGAGTTTTCATTTTTCATTTCACAGACCAGGACAGAGAGTCTGGAATTAGCATAAGAACTGCTACTGGATAATTAAGAATGTTAGATTTCCATGGGCCTCTGTCTCTAGTCTCACAGGAACTATGTTCCCACACATTACCAGTGAGACTATTTCTGAAACGCAATGTGTGTGACTGCACCAAATATAAAATCTTATAACCGTCTGATAAACCCAGACCCAGACTACTTGGCACCCCTAAGCCCTTGGAGCCCCTGTCTTAAAACCAGTGAAAGAAGGTACTACTTGATGCACAGGGCTGTCTTGTGCAGAGGCGCGAACAGATCTGAAAGAGGTTTATGAGGAGAAAGAGCCTTCCTTACTTAGGCTTCTGAGTTAGCTCCAAGGGGAGCAAGGGGTCCCTCCAACTGCCCCCTGCTGTAACTCTCTGGACAAGAACCCAGGAAGGACAACAGTAAGCTGAGGCGGCAGCATGGGGACTGAACACAGAACCTGCACTGGACCCAGTATCTAGCTTTGCTCGCTGGGTGTTCGGCTTGCTGAAGGGGCCACAGTGGACGGGGCTTAGAAGCAGCTGCTGTCAGAGGCAGCAGAAGAGCAAATGAGCTATTTTATGAGCAGATGTGGTCCAGGAGTCTAGATGATTCCACATTAATTGATATTAATACAGCTGGCCAGCTAACCAGGCGCTGTGCCACGGGTCCCCGAGGCATCTCCCGGGGGGCTCAACTACTAAAGAGACCTGGTTATAAACTGCAGAGGCCTGATATTAACAACAAAACACAATTCCCTCCAAATCTATCCCTGAAGGCAGCATGTTTATCTAGGGTTCAGGTGTCTGTGTGATGGTGTGTGGTTCTCTATGTGATCAGTTAATTTAGAGGGAGTACCTATTAGGCAGAAGTAAATTTAGCTGCACTGAGACACTAGTTTCCATGTCTTTTGGGCCTGATACATTCAGTCATGTATAATTTTTTCCCACCATTAACCATGGCTCCGGTGTCTTTTAGCAAAAGAAATGCTATTAGCTACTGATATTCCTGAAGCAGAGCACTTGAAAAAAATGCATTTGAATTCAATAACTGGAAAGGACACTGCCTTCATGATGGATCATTTCAGGAACATTTTTGATGTCAGATTGAAGAATAAAGAGCAAGATAAGACTGGGTTAATGGAGCAAAGGATACAGAGTATTCAAATAGACTACATAAAAGCTCTGAGCTCACTGAATTCTGTTCATGGATAGTAGGAATAGTGAGCATTTTGGCCAGGAATTTGCAAGAGAATTCTCTGCTTTATGTATTCACTTCAGACATTCCCCTCTTTAATGGCAGTTGATGGGTTTCGCTTATTCATTATCCAACCTATTCAATAAGAAAATAACTCATCGTGGGCTTTGAGAAGCAATTAACTCCTACTGAGGCAAGATGCCCTCGGTCTGTCACTTTTCTGTGACCCGCTGACCTGCCTTGGTACCTAAGGTGGCACCTTTGGTATTTCTTAAGAAAGCTGCAATTCGGTTCTCAGGCACTTAGATTCCTCTACTCCTGCATTACCTAGAAACACACCAGGACAGACACTGGCAGGAAGGATTTTAGGCGTGTTCTGCATTGTGCTGTTTGACGTAACACAATTTTGACCTTGGATCTGGAAAGAGTGGGACCCCGTGCGTGACTCTAGGACCTGAGCCTATACTGGCAGCCTACAGGAGGTCTCCAGTGACCTACGGAGGCGCTGTCTCCCCAGGGTTTCCATGTAGGGCAGGACTTACTGTCATATTCCTGTAACAGCTCCACCGCTGTCAAGAGAACAGCTCTGTGTTCTGGGTCCCTGATGTTTAACTCATCCAAGTCTTCCTCCTCCAGGAGTTTAAAAGTGTCCAGGTCCTCATACCCATTGAACAGGAAAGTGGGCATGTGCTCCTGGGAGGGAAGACAGATAGAAGACAGTGAGCTTGAATCACCCTTGGCCCTGACCAGCTACCAACTCACCCCTAAACTCCTTTTCCCCAGTGGGCTTTCTAGTCATTAAATGGTCAGATTTCTCCTTTGTGATCCAGCCTGAGCCTCCGAAGCAGGCAGGTTCCATTAACCAAGGGGTAAGAAGACGCGCTGGAGGCTGACACAGGCCCCACTGGCCAGCACTGTGACTGGGCCCTGTCTGAGCTGGTGCTTGACCACACGCTGTGCACAGCGGAGGAGAGGCTCCCGAAACCCAAGCCCAAAGCCCTGGATTTCCTCAGCAGCAAGAAGGTTTTGCAAGAAGGAAACAGAATCTCCCGCCGTAGCCCCACCCCACTTGATGCTGGGGAACAGAGAGTGAGGTGGGGCAAGAGGATTTTTAGGGCCTCAGAGGTGACAGTGAGCAGGGCCCGGGGATTGGGGCTTATCACCCTTGCTGGTAGAAGCCCCAATTCACAACTCCCTGAAAGTTGCTCTTGGGGCCAAGCCTAGACTTGGGTTTAGGCTATCATCCACAGCAGAGGTCAAGGTCAGTGTCAGACTACTGGTGACTATTTCTGTAGATTAAAGGCTACTTCTCACAGCACTGGGCCACACTTGTCGGACGGTGTGGGCTCCCCCCCGCCCTCTCTCAAAGCGCCCAGCCTGGCTTAGTCTAGCGGGAGAGGCAGCAAGGAGGAGCGTGACCAGCACGGGAGGGAACTGACTTTCAGGTTGATCCGGTCCAGGAGATCCTCCACGGATTTGGGCTGGGGGGGCCTTCCTTTTCTCCTCCTTCTGGCCGGGCGCTTGGGCTTTTCCGCCTCTTCGTTCAGCACATCCACATAGATGAATTTGAAGGTGCCAACCTTGTTATTCAACAGGCCCATCCAGGTGCCCATGGGTGGCTTGCTGATGATGTCGATGATGTCTCCTTTCTGTGGCCCAGGGAGCAAAGGTCGTTCCGTGAGGTACATTTGTACGCATGAACCATCACCCATCCAGCCCTGTTCATCACACAGATGTGACACACTGCGAAGGCCATTTGGAGGGCTCCCCCAGCACCCTTCTGAGCAAAGGAGGTGGGGTGGGGTAGGGCTGGGAATCTGGTCCAGGGCCAGAGGGATTTAGTGCTGATAGTGCTGAGTCCACCCAGGCCCAGGTTCATGTCCCCTGCAGCCTGAAGTATGCCTGTGGGGCCCTCAATGCTCAGACTTGGGGGGCCACCTGGCCCTCTGAATGCCTTGCCATCACCCAGAGAGCTCCCGTTTGTGGGAACAGTTCCTTGCCAGTGAGGCCAGCAGCAATCCCTCTCTTGTTGTTTCACTTATTCTCAAAAACTGTTGTGTGTCATCTCCAACTATCCTTGGTCACACAGAAAAGGCAGTGATGATTCTTTAGTAGGAGAAAGTATAGGAGCTGGGGAGTGGAGGGCAACAGGAATTCTGGGGGGGAAGTGGGGCTGGAGGACAGAGCTGGGGTGGTACGTTGGCCATGGCAGAGACTAAGCAGCAGACCCACCCCTGTCCCAAATGCTGGCTGGTTCTGTTTTGTTTTCAGCACAGAGGAAGCCAGTTGATCAAGTGACCGAGACACAAATCTGGATGCACCCCCAGCCCAGTGGTCAACGACAAGGAGAGAAGAAACCGCAGACACACACCTTGAGCTTGAGGGAGTCTGTGTCGTAGGGGCTGGGCGTGAAGTCCGTGTGCACCCTGGCGCGCCCACAGAAGGGGCCCCGGTATGGGGGCTCCTCGTCGTCGCCGTCCTCCGACTTGACACTTTCCCGGTTGCTGGTGGAGGAGTCGGTGGTGCTTACAGTCTGACCACCTGGTTAGGAGACAGGAAGAACAAGATGCAGCCATCCTTGCAGCCCAGAAACGGAGCCCCCAGGAGTGAAGTCACGGAGCAGAGGATACGGGGCAGTCTAGGCTGAGATCTGAGCCTCTTGAGTGTTACTATCCCTCAAGACCTAGCCAGATGGGTGACAGCAAGTTACTGTCATGACGCCAGAATCCCAGGGAGGCAGTGACTCCCTAGTAGAGGACACTAAACACCCTGGACATTCTTGGCCTCTCACTGCCAGGTGTGCTGGCTTCAGCCCATGACATAGCTGAGGAAACAAACTCTGAGGTCATGAAAGTTGCCATGGTCAAATGCTTTGAAGGGGGAGGTGTAAACTCAGTACTCAGTATGTCCGGCCTCCCCACCTCCCCATCCCATTTGGCCCATGGCTCTCTGGGATTTGCCATTGTCCTCATCTCTCTACTTCTTATGTGCTGGCCTCACCTTGTGAGCTCTCCCTTGACTTGTGCTCATGAAGCCTTTCCATCTCCCCGACCAACCCGCCACCCCCTCCTTTGAGCACACAGGTGACCCTGGGCCCAGCTCTTTGTAGTCCTGTCTCGCTCACAGCACCCAAAGGGGAAGCACGTGGTGGTCTCGTGAATCTCACTCGCCTGACCTCAGTCAAGTGTAACTCAACGCCAAGGGAAACCGCAATCAAAGCCCCACATACTCATGGAGCTCTGGCCGCTCAGGGAACTGCGCAGACTCTCCACCGAACCTCCGGCTTTGAGCTTGGGCTTGTCCGTGTGCTCCCCGTCGGGCTGTGAAGATGGGGGGCAGCCAGGCATGCCGTCAAGACCCGAGTCCTAAAACAGGTTCCAACAAAATCAAGTCTCATCAGAGCGAGCCTTTCGCGTTCTCTAGTGATTCAGCCCTCAGCAAAGCCCCCAGACTCCATCTTAACTTGATTCCATGCTTCACAGTCTCCCCCTTTTTAATCTACACCCAGGTTTCATTTTCAAGCTGTGGCCTATGTAATATATACTCTTCAGTGCTCAGATATGTTTCCATGCCCAATGAGATGGTCTGTAATCTGTGAGAAAAATCTACCTATCTCTTAGATAAAACATTTCCTTAAAGGGTTAGAGGCTCTGAGTACTCAACAGTGTGGCAGTAGGATGGACTTCAATGCAAAGCAAACATGATCCACCAATCCTGGTATCTGGAAAGTGCTAACAGGTAATTTAAGCTATTTGATGAAACATTTGTGCGTGCACACACACACACACACACAAGTGCATTTCTTGAAAAAAATATGGCAAGCTATAAAAAATTTATTCATAGATGACATGCTAATATACTTAGAGGAAACCAAAGATTTTATAAAAGAACTTCTAAAAATAATAAATGAATACAATAAAGTGGCAGTATACAAAATAAAAACACAGAAAAAAAATCAATGGCATTTCTATATACAAACGCTATATCAGAAGAAAGGGAAACAATGAATACAGTTCTATTTACAATCACGCCAAAAAGAATGAAACACCTGGGAATAAACTGAAGGAGGTAAGGACCTGTGCAATGAATATTATAAAGAAAATAAAGAGAAGACAAAATGGAAAGATATCCTGTGCCAAAAAGTAGAAAGAATTAGCATTAATAAAATGACATATTACCCAAATCAAATTATAAGTTTTACATAATACCTATAAAAATACCAATGACTTTTTTTTAATGGAAGTAGAACAAATAATTATCAAGTTTACATGAAATCACAAAAAGCCCCAAACAGTTAAAACAATCTTGAGAGAAAAGAAGAAAAATGGAGATATCTCCTTTCTTGACTTCAAACAATATCACACAGCAACAGTCATCAAAACAGTATGGTACTGGAACAAAAACAGAAACGCAGGCCAAGGGATAAGCCCAGAAACTGATAAGCCCAGAAAAAAAAAAAAATAAAGCAAGACACATATTGAACTCCATACACAAAAATTAATTCCAAATGGATTAAAGATTTGGACATAAGAACCCAAACCATAAAGTACTTGAAAGAAAATAAAGAGAACAGCTATAGAAGTTTTACCACAAGGTATATTCAGAGACTGAACCCCAACAGCAAGGGAAACAAAGGCAAAAATCAACAAGTGGGAGTATAGGAAACTTAAAGGTTTTTGTGCCTCAAAAGTAACCATCACAAAGACAAAAAAGCAACCTCAGAATAGGAAAGACATTGGCATGCCATGCATCTGACAAGGGGCTAATCTCCAAAATCTATCCACCAACAAAGAAACAAATGACATTAAACAAGGAGCAAACGACCTCGAGACTCTTCTCTAAAGAAGAGATTCACTTGGCCTACAGACGTGTGAAAAAAGATTCAACATCATTTATTATAAGAGAAATGCAAATCACACTGGGACACCACCTCGCCCATGTAAAAATGGCCCATATGAGGATGTGGTGAAAAAGGACCTGTCATCCTCCTCTTAGAGGAAATGCAAGCTGGTGAAAAAATGCAGCCTGTGTGAAATATTTTATTTTCTCAAGAAAATAAAAATGGAAATTTCGTATAAACCAGCAATATCTCTACTAGGTATTTATCCAAGTAACATGAAAACCCTAACACGAAATGACTTATCTATACCTATGGACATAGCAGCACTGTTCACAATTGAAAACTTGTGGAACCAACCCAAGTGCCCTTTGACAGTTGAATGGATAGAGAAATTGTAGGGCATATACTCGGTGGAATAATACGCAGCTGTGAAGAGAGATGAAAGGGTGCATTGGGGACAAATGGGTAGGCCACCAGGGTTATGCTGCGTGAAATCATCCTAAAGTTAAAGATAGATTTCAGATGGCTTTACTCATCCACAGAATACAAATACCAAAAACAGACAAACATAAAACCCTAATCACACAACAAACAAGAGAAAGAATAAAACTTGAACTTGGCAAAAAGAAGATAATGGTTACCGGGGGCGGGGGGGTTAGGGGAGAAGATGGAGGTGATGGGGGAGAGAGACAGATGGGGTACGGATATGGGGGGCTTGAAGGAGGCAAAAAAATTAATGAGTGGATAAAAACTGATATATATGCACAATGGAATACAATTTATCAATGAAAAAGATAAAATTCTGCCATTTGCAACAATCTGGATGGATTCTAGATGGAATTATGCTTAGTGAAGCAAACCAGACAGAAAACACCATGTGATGTCACTCATAGGTGGGAGACTGAGAAAACAAACAGATGCCCTAAATAAAACAAAAATAAACTTTGACTTTCAGACCAATTAGTGGTTCCAGAAGGGAAGGGGGTAAGTAGGTGGGTAAACAGGGGAAATGGCGACAATGCTGTGATAGGGGCAGCGCTGGACACTCAGGGGTGACATTCGCGTCATCTATACAGGTGTTAGGCACTAACAATGAGCACCTGAGTCTCAAATAACTATAACCAATGTTACTCCTTCAAAAGTTCTTAAAGGCCAGTTACAACTTACAAGATACATAAAAAACTAACTTTTTAAAGTCTGTAGTAAAATATCTGTATGCCACCCTATAGTTTTGCCTTCTTTGTTAGGAGAATCTTGTGAAATCCTTTCCGGTCAGAATACTGACTTACTGACTCAGCAGTGCTTTTCACATTTGGGGGGCTCCCTCTCATCAGCCTGGCAGCTCTTCTTTTGCACATGTAACTATAGCATGCTTATTAATGGGGCTGTGCAGAACAGACAAAGCCACTCTTCAAAATGTGTGCAGAGAGAATGGCGTCCTCGCCAAGACAGAAAACTCTGGTATATTATACGGCCACGTGAGCACAAAGCCATCCAAACAAAACGTGTCATTTGCATGGTGCCGAATCATCAGAAGGGCTTTAACCCAATTCTGCAGGCCCTGCAAACATTTAAGGACAAGCAGCTTCTGACCCAAAACACATCACTGGTGCTTTTTACTTGTGGACAGTGAGCAGACCATCTCCAAAACAGCTACAAACAGAGGTGTCATTTCTGCAAAAGCTGAAGCTGCCAAGGGTGAATTCTTGAATACAGTTTCACTCCTTCTTTATTGCTCGAAAGTCATGTTTCCAATTACATTCTTTATTTTAGTACTTCTGAGAAAAGCTCACATTTTGAAGAACAATATTAGCAGTAAGTCTATGTCTGTCTATGTCTCGAATAGTGTATGTTCTCTAATGTTTTTTTTTCCCCCAGAATGATTAATTGATTCATCACACCTTTATTATCTACAAGATAATAATTCCAAGGGCTGGACTTAGAGCAGAACAGAGCAGACAGAAGTCCTTACCAGTATAATTGATACATTTACTTGAAAGCTAAAAACAATCCCTGCAACATCAATTTATGTGAAATGTCTTAGAAAAACAGAGAACCTAGAAATACAAAACTGCAATACAGTGGTAAAGTTACAGAAACATATTTGAAATATATTACGTTTTATGCACTTGATTCTTAAGTAAATCACCCCCCCCCCAACCACCACCACCACATGTAAATTTACCGAAGATTTTAGTGGATGTTGCAATTTGGAGGAAAATCCAACTAAATAAAGTGTTTTCAATTAGCGGCCTGTTTTTGCTAATTGGCACACTGGCTGCTTCACAAAAGAGCTCACCGTTATTCCTTGCTGGGCAGAAAGACAGAATCCCCATTGCTCCCAGAGCCCCAGGGACAAGACACACCAAGGGAGAGCAGTGTGGTGGAGACGGGGGGACAGCCCAGTGCCCCTGCTGGGGGCGGGGGTGTCTGTGCATTGTAAGACGCGTCTGTGCCTCTCTACTGGACGCTAGGCGCACCCCACCGACCCCCCAGGGTGAGTATGAAATATGGTTGGGGGGGAGAAAATCACCCCCACCCCCAAAAGGACCACAGAATGAAGATATACGGGCTTTGAATCAGTGTGGGCAGCCAGCTAGTGGGGTTCAGAGGGTTTCAACAAGGAGAGGCTGTGTTCAGCTCTCGGTGTCCACCAGAGGGCAGCAGCGCAGCAAGCATGTCTGCCTTCTCTGGTGCTTTCATTTGGTCAGTAAACCACCATCACTCCACATCACTCCACCTTCCAGGATAGTCAACTCACACGCAGGTACCTGACTGCAAAATGAACACCATAAAGGGGCCGGAGGAAAGTGGGAACCCTAATGGTTAAAATGAACTCAGGGCCCAGGGCTCTGCGTGTCTTTATTGCCCCCATCCATATAATTAAGGCAGAAAACGGTCCTATTTCTAGTGCAACATTGTGGAGTTGGGAGAGGTTAATTCTGTGATATCAGCATGGCCACAAGCAGAGCCAGTTAAGTGAAAACATCCCCGGCGAACATGATTTCTGTTAAGTCCTGCACCCAGGACTCCTTTCCCAGGCTACTCCTCGGGTGTGCGACGTGCTTCTAATCCAACTTATGCCACCTTTCACAAGGTCGCTAAGAAAGCTCAAGTGTCTCTCCCAGGTTTCATTCTGGTGACCTCCATTTTGTAGCAAGGATATTTTATAAAAATCTTGCCATGTGGGAGCTGGAAACGATCATGCTTAGGGAGATAAGCCAGAAAGAGAAAGAAAAATACCGGATGGTTTCGCTCATAGCAGGAGTATAATGGACCAGGCGAGAAAATAACAAGAATAATGAACAACCATAGACCAGAGACATTCTGTGGGGGTGGAGTGGGGAATGGGACCAAAAACGGGGGGGTGGGGAGGGAAGTGCATGGGACTATGGTGATGGCACACGGGTGACTCGGTGATGGGAAACCCGCGGGGATTACTACTGAGATGAAAAAAAAAATGTACAACATGATGTAAACATAAACTGTTATGTTATTTTAGCGTTCATTGCACTAAACAATCTTTCCTTGCCCCTCTGTGTCCTCTCTCATGTGTAGGTAGAAGATGGGGCCCGTGTTCTGTGCTCCTAGCACCACGCACAGTGTGAGAACAGCTCATAGGGCCGAACGCGTGTCTGTAAAGTAGAACGCTTGTCTCTACTCATATAAGACGGCCTGGAGCTTACGTACTACGAGTACATTTAGCACCATTGAAAATCTCAGCCCTGGCGTCCCTGCAGGGAAGGGAGAAAGAAGCAAGGGTAACCCAGGCTCGGCAGTCACAAACCTGCTCAGAGACAGAGCTGCTGTATTTCTTAGACATTCTCTTCCTCATTGTCTCTTTCACTGATTTCACCTTTTTTCCAAGAGAGATGCGGGAGGCAGTGGGTGATTTGATTACTTCTTTGTACACAAAATCTCCTTCTTTACCCTGTAGAAACAAAATGTTCCACGTAGTTTAATGCCAGAAAAGGAAGCCCCCAACAGGTTTTAGTATTCAAGCCATTTATGTACTATCTCTCAGACAAAATCTGCCATCCCCAGGATCCTTAAGTTTTTCCTTTATGAACTCAGTGCTCAGTTATTTACCTTCTCAAATAGTGAAAGCTACTGGCTAACGGGCTTTTATTTGCGTACGTGTTTGTCCGAGGTTGATGGGAATCACCATTTTATTTAATCTTAGTACTTCTTCTACTGTACTTTTGTCTGCCATTCTGAACACCCAAAGGAACAGCATTTCTCGTCAATAAAGAGGATTTAGATGAACCAATGCTCACATAACCCCAGTGGCAAGGGAAAAGGCAGAGCTAAGACGACAGCGTCCCCCTGGGAGAGGAAGAAGAACAACGGGGCAAATCTCAGTCACTGCAAGTCCAGCATCTGACTGGGTCTGGCACTGCAGGATCCACGTGGCCAGTTCCTATGAGTTTGAATTTCCTTTTCTGTACAAGTTAAATTGTGGTCACCTCCCATTCTGTCCTGTACTGTTAAAAAAAATAAAACAAAACAAAAACAACCAACCTTCCCTTGAGATATGAAAAGCAAATGACATCTTTTAAAGTTGACCACATAAAATTATTAGGTTACTAATCAATAAAATTTGATGTCCAACTAAAGTTTTATGCTTCCAAGAAATTCCAAAAACACTTCAAAAGTCACAGATGGCTGTTTTAGCCAACATGTGATCCTAACAAAAACAAAGCACAGACTCTTAATTTCACAGTTGCGTGACAAAATGCCTTCAGGGAAAAACAAAGCTGTATGTAAAACTCACCTACAGCCTCGGGGGCAGAGAAGAGTCCCAAGGAGGAGCACTTGTGACTTGTACCCCAGCAGCCCAGGTCCGAGGGCCAGGCTGTAACCTTGACCCTGTGCAATCTGGGTTGCTTTGGCCTCAAGGGGACTGGGTTCATTCCAGGACACCCATAAAAACAGCCTATGCTGGGTACAGAGTATGATCACGGCTGTGATTAGACGTAGGCAGGCTGGCATGGGGTCTCCTTCCCCAACTCACAGGGGCTCCATGCTGCCACGACCCACGTGAAGCAGCCACATGCACTTGAAACTCTCAACAAAACACCAGTGTGTAAAAATGAGGAAGACCATGGAGCCTAAACTCATCTGAGTTTGTGACTTGAAGAAAACCAGCAACAAAGGCATTCAAGGAAGGGAGCTACTGCTGGAGAGACAGAGGCGGGAAGCAGTCGCTATTCATCCCACAGGGAACAGTGAAGAGTCTTTAGGCTGGTGACTGGCCAAGGGTCAGGAGGGCCAGTATTCAAGGGCACAGTGCGAAATGATGTCAACCAGCATGCTCAGATGCCACTCTTTTGCTTCCTCACTGGCACATACTCACCATTGGGTCCGAGTTGCTACTGCCAATGTGCAAAGAACGATTTGTCAAGTCGAAGCCTCCGAAACTGCAGGTTCTCTGCGGACAGGAGAGGGCGGGGAAGAAATGAGCCAGTTATGCACAATTCAGGCAGTGAGGTCTTAACCCAATCCACTTCCCATCGCAGGACAGCACTGAATCACAAATATGTTACAGGATGAAGTAGGAAACGAGAAATGATGAGGGAAAAGATCCATGACACATGTTATAAAGAACCTTCTCTCCATCTGCCCCTGGAACTGGGTCTGTCCTGGGCCTGCACCAGGGGTGGAAGATCCAAACCTCCTTAACACGCAAAAACCAGCTGGCTGAAAAACAATAACAAAACCAATCCACATGTTGGGTGCGGTGAGATTCCCTGTTTCTTAGCAACAGCACTGTGTCTTATCAAGCCCCCGGAATGTCAGCTGCACACAGGGCTGACAAAGAGTAAGTATCTATCAGGGACTCAGTGCTCAGGTGTCTGGGAAACTCAGGTCCAAAACCCTATACTTTTGCCGCCAACAGCAGGTTATTCTAACAGACTCTTGTTTGCTTTTACATTGCAGAGAAGGGGGGAAAAGGTTATGTTTATAGTTGTCAAGCAGGCCAAGAGGATTACTCACTCACTGCTCCCCTAACCCAGCCAAAAATGCTGATACTGTTCCCATCTAGCTGCCCAACTTAATTATTTGTGACCCTTTTCTCATGACATTAGGAACAAAGATACCACCTTTGCCCAGCTACAAAAAGGTTGATTCAGTGACTACCTTTGGGCTTGTTTCTTAATTTCAGTAGGAAAAAACACTGACGTTATAAAGAATGAAAACTTTACTATCCTTTCAGTTGCTTACAATCTTTATGTAATTATTTCAATGTCAGTGATTTTATATTTCCAGAACTCGATTTGAATTCCCTCTTGTTGTTCTAGCAAAAACTGCTCGAAGACTGACTCTTCTCCAGCTCCCAAATCAGTAAGAAAGGAGCATGAAGCAAACCCAGTTTTTGCTCCAAAGGTTTATCTTTTGAAGCAATGGACATTTAACAGCTAAAGGCAAATTTGGGTTCCAATCTTTTTATTAACTATTTCTCAGGGAACTCTCATTAGCAGATACTAAATGCAGAAAATGAACAGAAGTATCATGTACTACTAAAATCACTGCTTGTTGAAAAGAAACAGCATGTATATTTTATTTATCCATCTTATCTATCCATCCATCCATCCCTCAACACAAAGTAGAAACATCTAAGCATCCAGAAAGGGAAACACCAAGGATTTTTTGGAGTGACATCCTGGCTCTCCTCTTACCTGCTGTGTGGCCAGAAATAAAACTCTTAAACTCTCTGAGCTTGGGTTTCTTCTTCAGTAAAATACCATCTCTGGCCCTCCCTGGTGGCACAGCAGGTTAAAGCACAGCACTGAGAATCTGAAGCCACTTCCGCATGAGTTCGATTCCCGCCTGCCTCCTGCCCCGGAGGAAACCACATGGCGAGCCAGACCTCTCCTGACCCGCCCGCTGCTTCCCTCAGCAGTGTACTTCGTCAATCTGCCTGTTCTGCTCCCCCCCTCTGTCTCTGGTGAAGCCTCTCACCGCCCCTGAGCCTCTGGCCTGTACCCCAGTTCTGTATGAATAAATAAATAAAAATCTTTAAAAAAAAAAATACCATCTCTATCCTGTACTTGAAGCTTCTACCACTGCCTGGCTCACACAGCCGAGACCCTACCATGCTTCTTCCCTGAGTAGGCAAACTGTGGAGTCTGCCCCAGCAACTGTTACGTTGAAGTGGGCACGTGGCCAACTTCCGTGTGAAAGAAGGGCTGGAGTTTGGCTCTGGGTCTCGAGTTCTGGAAACTTCAACTGTAAGCTAGAGCACCCCTGCCATGGGTCCAGCAGCGACTGCCGGCAGTGTGGTGTGCAGGGTGGGACCGCAGAAGCAGCAGGGTTATGGGAGGCCTTTTCGGACAGTCAGTATTCAAGATGTCGCCTGCTTCCCTCCTCACCGAAGCTGCTGTTTCTGTTTTAAATAATCTCCCACGGGTATGACTTCCAGTGGACACAACTGTAATGTGATATTAAACATCAGTGGACAATCTGATTTCCCTCGAGTCCCCTTAACTGATATCTGCTCTACGAAGAGAGGGGCCTCAGTATGCAAAAACACCAAATGTCCTCTCCTGGCCAGTGCTGTGATGGCCTCACAGGCTAATGTTTAACATCGACTTTCCCTTTCCAACTCGAAGGCCACGTAGCCGTTTTCATTTATGCAAAGGCAGGGATTTTTATTCTAATTCCTCCCTGGGATTCGCGGCCCCGTGCCCGCAGAATGGCACCCAGATGCCTCAGCCTTCTATGGCTTCTGCCCTCCCCTGCTGTTAATTCCAGCATCAACTCCAGCACCGCCTGCCGGCACGTTATTTCTGAAGCATATGAAATAAGTGACAAAGAATTTATGTGGAAACTATTATCTGCAATAAATTAGAAGCTCATTTATGTCTTCACAATGCTTGCTGTATGCATCTATTCCTAAAATAAAAAGCCTGAAGAGTGGACTGTTTTTCTTAACAACTGACTAAAATCTCTCCCAGCACCAGCAGAGACTTCTGGAACTGATTCTTCTTTATCAATGGGACATGGGCCCAGAGCTTATCAGCACATGTAGCTTGAACTAATCTCCAGCCTTTTCTGTAAAATCAAGTAGTTCTGGAAGCAGGACTCTTTCACCAGAGAAAACAGATTATAGAGGGACTCGTAAAAGAAGGGAAGTTCATCTTTGACTTTGGACATCTACGTAAACAAAGCCTAAAATGAGGTTTGTTTGAGTTCCTGTATCTGTTGGTACACTTCAGATGATGCTCGGGGATGAGGAAGGCCAGGCAATGGGATGCTTCATGCAGTTGATAACATGTTTTTGAGGAATCTGAATTTTAAAAATGGACAGAATTCTGAGATCTCATGCATGTGTCTTCCCCCAACAAACACTGAATGACAAATCAAAAGCAAGACACGTGACGGTTCCCAGCAAGTTCCAGCGTTATCACTTCCCTGAGGCTCCATCAAGCACATGGCATTTTTTTTAAGGACATAAAGATCAAGGTTGCAGATTGAAGGAAACGATGAACATTTGGATAAAATGAGGAAGACAGGACAAGAATGGAAAAGAACTTTTAAAGTCAATCAAGCAAAGGCATGATCTTAATCTCTTAAAAAAGGCTCTTTCTATTGCTAAGACACTTATTTGCCCTTTGTCTGCATATTTAGAACCTAAAATTTTTCCCTGATTGTCCAATTATACATTACAAAGTATGTGTAGCTTTCTAATTAAGCATGGATCATATACTTCAGCATGTAGTAAAGCTGTCCAAATGTGGCGAGCACCTACTATCTTAAAAACACCTAATATCTTCAAAAAAAAAAGGTTGGTTGTCATATTTGGGGTAGAGATTGTAGAGATTGCACAGCTCACCTTTATGGGGGCAGGAGAGACTGGCACTTGTAACAACATAATATTAATAATAATGCTGTTGTTATTTATATTATAGTAGTAATATAAACTTGCCCAGATGGTCATACTCAATGTCGTGAAGAATTAATCATAATATTAATCAATCAAATGTTAATTAGCACAAATCTTTGAGAGAAACTGCTGATGAAGATACATTAACAGTATGAGGGTCAAATGAGCGGTGTAAAATGCTCAATTTGGCATCCTTCTCAGTATTACATGATTTTAAACTCACAGAAGTGAGTCATCATTTAACAGAGAAGGCAGTGAGCGGGTTGGGGGGGCGGGGGCGTGCTGGTGAGGCATGCCTGCCCTGTCCAGGTCACGTCCAAGCCACTGAGGTAGCCCAACTGGGCAGGGTACTTCTGAAGGTGAAAAATAAATTACACCATGGTGGCTTGGCGACAAGTATTTTACAGAAGACCTGTGGGTCAAAAGTGAGTAAGAATGAAACTGTTATTTTAAAGCACCAGAAAGAGCCCAACCCTAAAATGTCACTATGATAGAGGAAGAATCAGAAGAGTCGTTGCTAATAGCACCACAAGTGTTGAAAGATTTCTGTGAAGGTGAAAAGAAGATCTGGCGAGGAAGACAATGCACGTGGGAACATCTGGAAGATGTAAGGTTGGGCTGGACCTAAGGATCTTTCCGGAATGGACAAGGTCATTCTAAGGATGGCGCTGGCTGGTCTGCATATGCACAAAAGCAGTGCATGATTGAGATAAGTTAAAGTTCTGTGACTGCCTGGTGAAGGAGCCTGGGGAGGGTCCCCACCAGAGGCGGCAGGTCTGTGCCTTCAGACGCCTACAAGAGGCACGAGCAGGTGGCTCGAGCGGGCACCTGTGCAGGGAGCCCACGCACCTCCTGGTCCTGGGCCAGCACATGCTCATGCCATGGAACAAGCCCCCATTTGCAAGGGAATTCGGGGGTGGGGGGAAGGAGAGGCACTCCCACATTTTGAAGTTGAAATTACGTCAACATCTGAAAACAAGCGCTAACTAGTTTTAATAACTCAGTCACAAAACTGAAAATATTGTTTCAAAGTAAGAACTTCACTCCTTGAGATCTAGAGGAGAGTCTTTGGGGCAGCAGGGACATTTCCAGATGGGAATCCTTTGCTTAAAGAGATAAACACATCAGACAGGCTAAAGTAAAAACCAAGAGGTCTATTCTTTTCCATAATGAAAGAACTTCCCATCGCTTCTATTCACAGAAGTCACGGATTTTGCGATGTTTTCAAATCCCCAAACTGGGGATGACAGCAATGGCCATCTTCCATGAGCTAGTCCCTATATTTATATTTTTTAAGATTTTATTTATTTTTATATAGAAGAACTGGAGTGAGGTCAAAGGTGTGGGCAGGGGCGGGGGGCAAGAGAGAGGATTCACCAGAGACAGAGTGGGGAGCAGGACAGGTGAATTCACTGAAATACACCGCTGAGGGCAGCAGTGGGCTGGACAGGAGAGGTCTGCTGGGCCATGTGGGTCACTCCCTGGAATGGAACTCAGGCCTTCATGGTGGTAGCACTGGGCCTTACCCCCTAAGCCACCTGGGGGCCCTCCCCAGTCCCTGTTGTTTTGCTGAAAGGGTGAGCATCTCTTTCTCTGGCAACGCGTCCTTCAGCTCTGTACGAGCTTCACTGAGGTCCAGGGACAGGCTGTCTGGGAGTCAGGCGAGCCGGCTCAAGAGGCCCAACTCTGGGCTCTCATCAGGGTCAAGGTGAATAAGCTTTAATGAAAAACCAGACAGCCTCAGATGCCGAGAGGACAGAGGGGACAAGGAGGAGAAGCCACCACTGAGCGAAGGGAAGTGGGAGGAGTGATGTGACGGTGGAATGATCCTGAAGTGATGGAGGAGAGGAGAGAAGAGGAGAGGGGAGGGCGGGGGAGGCCGGGTGCCTAGCAGAAGGACCACAGTGCTTGACTGCACATCATGGAAATGACAAGGCCGCCTGGGGACCTTCTTGGGGACTCACAGACTTCTGGTGGATTCTCAAGAGCACCCTTTTAGTACAGCGGTCGACCGTGCCGGCCCACTTCCTCTTGGCCTCCTCATCCTCCTCCAGCAAACACCGCCTCAGGTCCTGCTTCTCGGCCTTGCTCAGCGTCCTGTCTGACGCAGGACGCACGAGCTGGGTCAGGTTCAGGTGACTGTACAGGCTTCGCTCCACCACATAGGTGATATTGAACTCGCTGACCGAGGGGCGCCCGCGCACCCTCCTGCCGGGGCCACAGCCGCTCCCTCCCCCTTTGGGTTTCTGCCGCAGCAGCTGCAGGTCACAGGTCGTGCTGTGAACGCCTTTCCTGGAGGGCCGCTGGCAGAGAAAAGCTCTGGGACAGGAATAGTTAGCATCCGTCTTCTTCAGGCGGATCTGCTTGCGGACGCTCTGGATCTCCTCCAGAGACACCAGCAGGTGGTGCCTGCGGCGGTGGCTGTCATAGAAGCAAACGCCATCGGTACTTACCCCGTGGCTCAGGGACCCAAGCCCCTTCCTCATCTCCCCGTCCGTCAGGGAGCGGGAAACCTTCTGGGCCTTTTCTTCTTCTGGATATGAGAAGAATGACCCCATCTTCTTGGGGGGCTTAATGAGGCCCCGGCTCTCGCCTTTGCTGAAGGTTTTGACCAACTTGCGACCAGCTCCCCAGGTATCCAGGCTGCTGGACGACGGCGAGGTGGTGAGAGAGTCGGAATCATCTTCTGGAGGCTTCTCTGGAGAGCCGTCCAGGAAAAAGGGCTTCTTGTGCACGCCAGAGTAGAGGGCGGACCTCTCGTCCAGGACAGGTGGGCTATCCAGCCCCGGCTCCTCCCCACCTGGAGGGGAACCAACAGGACATGTTCACGGTCTCCCAGAGACGGGCCTCGGCATCCACCTGCAGACGTCTCGTACAGCCCCTGCCTGCCAAGAACAAGCTGGAAGCCACAGCGGCGCCCCGCTCCTCACCCTTTATAAGCCCAGCTCGCACTGACACAAATGCGGGAAATGAAGAGAACAATCAAGTGCAAAGGCTCGGAGTGATACGGTTTTGGGTGTATTTTCTCCTTTCAATACCTTTAAAAGGTGACACTGGACTCTCAAACCTATTTGGTGACATAAACAACTAACACATCAGTAAAAGTAAAATTTAAAAATCCTCTCTTTGTAGAACACCTGAACGGGCCTCTCAAAAATGGAACACTGGCGTCAGCCACGGCCATGACATCCCTTGACATTTAGAGATCACTGCCTCTCCAAGCTGGGAAGCGCCATCCTCAGCAGCTCAGTCAGGCTCTTTCCTCCTATTGAAAGGCTGTCCTGTTGGCTCAGGTTGGCCTTCCATAGTCAGAGTGCGACGGATGCTATGTGGATGATGTGATTTTTTTAATGGTACAGGTGCCATTTAAGAAATTAAACCTAAAACACCATAAGGGGCTGTAGCTTGCAATGCAGCTGACAAATGGCCCCCGGTGGACAAAGACAGAGAGTTGGGTAACTGGGTGATCCCAGCCAGACATGTGCGCCGACTCAGCCCTGCTGGGAAGGCAGTGAGGGCATTTAAGGCCCTGAGCATGCAGTTGCCCGTGGGGGCTCCGCTTTGTCTCAAAGGATTCCAGCTCTTGAAACGTTCACTGGGCCAGGTATGGAGCCAAGTCCTCCAGAGCCCAGTGGAAAGGTTTGGTCTTTCCAGCAGGAAAACAGCTCTTTTCTGCGTGTGTTATGTGAACAGATGCGAAAAGAGAAGTAGGTCAAGTTGTGGGTGTAGTGATCCTAACTGACTGTGTCCCTTTAATTATATGGAAACTTTTGAGCTCCGCAGCTTTCCACCAGCTGAACTGTGAAAAGGAAAAAAACGAAAAGTTCCCTGGAACAGAGGGACGACACTCCATATACCAGCTGGAAGGAGAGCGCAGTGTGTGGATAAATGTCAGCTGCACAGGGAAAGGACTGGCTGCTGGAGAAGGGCAGGGTGAACGGATGGCCAGAGTCCTTCCCATTTATAGAAGTTTCTTGATTTCCCAAACGGTGAAAATTACAGTTGCAAACATAACAGCAAAAAGAATCGCTGCTGGTCAATATACCCAGGACTGACTTGGGTCAAGGACATGGTGGGGAGGGAGCTGCATGCCCAAGAGCAGGCCAAATGTGTCCCTAATCTGCAGCGCAAATCTACTCACTGAAGACTTCTCCCCAGATCTTTCAGGCCAGTTCAAGAGCAGGGCCCAGGGTTCTCACAGGTATCTGCCAGACCTGAGGCTGCGGGGGCCTCTCAGACAGCCTCCTGCTTTCTCCTCAGGGCACCTGACTACGATGGAACATCGATCGCTAGGCTGCTGGCAGCCAAAATGGCCACCTTTACTTCAGGGAGGGGTGACCGACCGTCACGACAAGAGGCAACACCTGGTGGCAGCACATAGCTACTTGTCTATAAAAACAGTCCCGACACACATCGCGGTTTCCAGGACCCCGGAGTGTGCAAGAGCCTGACCCATCCACTTGGGGGAAGCCAGGTGGGTATTTTAAGGACCTGTCCCTCAGCAATGGTCTGAGAAATTTCTGGACTCTGCTTCAGGGCTGTCATCACAGATTCCAGTACTTCCGTGTCACACTTGAGTCTGGAACCAGCTGGTGCACACATGTTCAGAACATATGGCCCTCCTTCCTGGTTCTGGAAAGGGGCATGGAGGGGAGGGGATCAGGGCTTCCACAGAGGCCTCAGCGGCAGGTCTGTGCCTGACCTGAGATCGAAATCCAGTCTAGACTTGGCTCCCTGGGCGTGGTGTTACCTCCCCCGCCTCCTCTGACCTGAGGCATGACTATCCTATAGAGAGAAAGCCACTCGGGACCGCTCACTCTATCCCTGCTTGGTGCGCTCTGCTCCACAGAATGACCTTCGTCCGATGAGGGTGAGCTCAGCATGGACTACACCCGAAGGGGGAGGTCCGGAACCTCGAAATCACATACAGTGCTGTGAACCAAGCTTGCCTCAAAAATAGAGAACAAAATAAATACGCTTTAAAAAGTAGGGAAGGGATGGTGATTTTTGGTAGGGAGAGGAGAGAAGGAGGGGGTGGGATGACTTCACACAGAGCAGATTCATGCCCTGGCCGCCCACCCGCCTCTGTGCTCAGTGCTCCCTGACCTTGGGCAACTGGTGACTTCATCGCGAGTCTGTTTCCTTGCCTGTACTAATGCCTCCTGATCTTAGTAATACCTGCAAGGCTTTTTAGAGGATAAAATGAAATGAAGAGAGATATGTGAAGGTACTTTAGAAGCTGAAAAGCAGCATACAAGTGAAAGATCACTGATCAGGTAACAGGTGAGCTGGAGAATGGGGGAGGGTAAACAAATGGGCTACATTCCTGCCCCATCACTGAATAGTCATCCAGGCCCAGAGAAGGACAGAAACTCAATTTACGAAGGTGAGACTGGGGAAAGGATGGTCAGGATCCTGGCTTTCCCAGGACCAAGAGCTGCAGGTTGAGGGAAACAGGGTGAGGAATGGGCTGTGGGGTGGGAGCAGAGGTACAAAGGCATCAGACTGTCCAGACTTAATTCTGGGTCTTCGGCGCTGGCCACATGACCCAGTCAACTACTTAGCATCCTGCTCTGCTGTTCATCTGCTCACTTATGAAATGTAGGTAGTATGAGGAGTGCCTGCCTCTGGTGGCTATTCTGAGGTTGACATATTAATTTCAAGTGCTTAGGAAAGTATCTGGCACGCGGAATGCTCCAGTAAATGTTAATTATTACTTAGAAAACTTAGCACTGGTACAAGCATGCATGACGTCAAAAGGATTGATTTTTCTTTTTTTTTTTTTTTAAGGCTGGGGAGGGGCTATGGGAGGATAAAGCTTTGCTGCTTTGCAGAAACAAGGGCCAAGGCAGCCCCTCCCAATGAGTGCCACAGAACGTTCTAAAAACATTCTGTTGTGCAGGAGCTGGGGAAGTTCTAGTTTAGCAAGAAGCACCCCAAAGCAGTTGCCCAGAACTGCACACACACTGGGTCTCTCCTGCTCGTACTGTGGCTGGACACCGGTGCCCCAGACCCCAAACCCCAGACACTAGAGGTGTAACCTGGACTCCACCCCCCTAAACCTAGCTTCCATCTGTGAGACTACTCACAGCCTGATGAATTGGCCAGAGCTAGATGTCAGTGTCATCATTACATATGTGTGTGTATATATATATATATGTCTTTTGGTGCATTTTTTTTTTTGCCTTTTAGACTCTGTCTCTCAAAGACAACTGAGTTGATTTGTTCTGACAAAAAATAAAGCAAATTAGAATATGTCTGCATTTTTACAAATGTGGAAAGGCTGACTCAATACATATCACAATCATGGGGGTACAGCCCCCTTTAATCTCCCATTTTACAGCCCCATTTTATCTCATTTGTGAATAAAAGATCCCAGTCAATTAGTGACACTGATTCTAGCAAGTGCACACGAAGTTTCCGTCAAAACGTGGTGCTCAGCAAAGTGAGTGACAGTGATTTCACATTGTTCTACTGACATGGGTGTAGTTTCAGTAAGCGCTGCCGTGGGTATTTTCTGCATTGTGAAAACCCACCAGCTAGGCAAGTATGAGAACTTCAAATGGAAAAGGAGCATTGCACCCACATGTAAACAGAATCACCAGGTGAAAAGACAGCTGACTGAAATCCTGGCATTAAACACAACACCAGGTTTTTATGAAATTGACCCTTTTGAACCTCTGCCCCCCTGGTGATACCCTTCTCTTCAATATTCCTCTAGGGCTTTCAACTGGTACATAATGACAATAAACAAAAATAAAAGCAGCAGAAGTAACAATAGAAAACCCTCACCTTGATAAAGGAGGAGAAATTCCATTCCCTCCATGGTGTGATTTTAATTTATGTACACCAAAGTGATAAAACTCTGAAATCCTTCACAATGCACATGTGGCATTTCAACGTGTAAGATGATTTAAAAAAAAAATTCTTTCTACTGATATCTCCAATCCATTTATGATTTTTCCAAAGAGAAACTCTAATTGTTTTATTTTCTCTTTGGGGGATAATTTTACAAGGCATTGCAAATGCACAACGCCAACAGTGAGAGAGATAAATATAGCAGAGATTCAAACTGTCCTAATTACGCATCAAAGGTTAACTATTCATTGCAATCAATCCAAGCTAGTGCTCCTTTTGACATCACTGTTTCATCTGGGAAGGGGTTGATCCAGCAAGATGGCTCTTAAAAATCCACTTAGGTGGTGCAGCGGGTTAAAGCACAGCACTGAGAAGCTTAAGCCACTTCCGCATGAGTTCGATCCCCGCCTGCCCCGGAGGAGATCCACATGGCGTGGCAGACCTCTCCTGACCCGCCCGCTGCTCCCCTCAGCAGTGTACTGCGCCGATCTGCCTGTTCTGCTCCCCACTTTGTCCCTGGTGAATCCTCTCACCCTCCGCATCTCTGGCCTACACCCCAGCTCTGTATGAATAAATAAATAAATCTTTAAAAAAAAAACCCACTTAGAATGGAAGGTCCTTAGGGCCCCACTGGAATTAAGACTTGAGTCTGTTTATAGAGAGAAAAAAAATCATCCCTCAGCGATCCGGGGGGCTACCAGGGGCCTGGCTTGTTAGTGTCTGTCTGACATTGATGTATATTAAATCTGGAATAAACTCACCGTGCAAGAACCACAGTTCTTTTAGGGGTAGAAGTTTATACTAAGAGAATATTATAAAGTGCATGTAAAATGGCATAAATGAAAGCTGTGCCTTGAGAAGATTCTGTTGTCACCTACTAGGCATTTCCTGTCCTTGTAATATTTAAGTCATGTACTCAGCCCCCAGAAATGCTATAGCCAGGCCCCCCGGTTCCGTACAACATACTGGGCGCCCCCTTCTAACAGGCTGATCCATTGCCTGCTCTGCCAGTCTCAGCCAGATCACAACTCATTCATTTCCCATCTGCAATCAGCATGTTTTCCTCCTGGGAACCTAACCTTCCCCCACCCCCAGTGATGTACTGATAACCATGGTGGCATCTGCTTTTTTACCTTCAGTGCTGGGTTTTTTCATTTCTTCCACCCTTATTAATTTCTTTCTCACTCTGCGAGTGGAGTTTACCAGCTTGTGTAACCTCTTAAACTTCACAGACTCCTCGGTCTCATCATCCGATTGTTCTCTTGACTGGCAAAGAAACAAAGGAAAAAGTTAATCAGATCACTGTTCCAGAGTTCTGCTCTTGTGTTTCAGTAGGTCCGGCCACTGAACCCATAAATTGGGGCGCCCACAAATTTGTACAACAGGTCCGCAAAGCTCCACATACCATCTCTGGCTGTAAGTCAGTGCGGAATTGAGCTCCGGGAACCACAACACACACCCTGCCCTTGACTGGCACCGGGTGCATTTGGCTCAACTCTGTCCCAGTCTTCCTTTAGGACAACTGTGGCGAGAATCGCTCCGGGCTGGCCCTGGAATTCCAGTTACACGACTGTGGTTTGGGCCAGGCTCTCAGCTGTCTGGCCCATCAGGACTTGCTGTTTAGCGTGGTCATGAACAACTTCTCCAAACCCAAACTCTGTTGACTTGTTCCCATCCTCCCCGAAAATCAAAAACAGCAGGGCAGGAAAAGGGAAGGGACGCAAGCAGCCTTCTTCCCTCCGTGTGTTAGGACAGCCTGCCACAACTCAGCCATCCTTTCCGCTTCTCCCAACTCATTCCCAAGCCGCAGGACAGATCCTGCATTCCTCCAAGAGGGACAAGGGAAAAAGCTGACCTTTTCAGCCATACAGTGCAGTCCATATTCCCCAGCATCCCATCTCGTTATGCAGCGATTCAAGTATGCTCAGCCCAGCTGTTTTCCCTCAAGTATCAAACATTACAGAGAGAAAAAAAAATTCTCTCTACAGCAGTGACCCAGGCGAAAAACAATCCTTTCCTTGTGAACAAAATGAGGATTTCGTTTCCAAGTCCGCTCCAACATTCACTATGCAGCTTCCTCTGTTTTATCTGTCCAAAATGTGGAAGAAGCAAAAGAGGGCTCCAGCCCAGAGTGTGTTGCACGGGTCCCTGGGAATGAGGAGCGCGTGGAAGGGCACAGCTTGGCACACCCCACAGCTCAGAAGCAATTCCAGCTAATCCTGCACGTGCCAACAGACTTCTCTCCCTTTCCTCAAGCCTAGCTCACTAAAAGAGCAGGGAGGGGACGGCCTCAAATGAAGGCATGAAATGAAAAACCCTATCTCTGCAACCTGGAAACTGGAGACTTCCTCCCTTGCCCGCAATGCTCTCATCAACCTCCAACTTCAATCCAGTAGGTAGGAAAGAGTTGGTGGAGAACAGTTCCAGACGAGGTGAAGGCTGTATTCATTATTCCAACATAAAAACAGTGCATGCTGCAATCCACAAATATTTCCACAGCACTCCACAGTATGGAAGGGATACATGCAACCCTTCCTTAGCCTCTGTCCTCTCCTCAGAACTACCGGCATGGACTCATTGTACTTCCTCCCTGCGCGACTAGAAGCAAACCATTCATCCACTAACTTAGTTACTATAATCTATCAATGGCAAGTCTCAAGTCAATGGTATTTCTCGGTCTTCCCTTCTGTGTATCGATATCCATGCTCAGTTTCCTAAAATTCCCAGATAAAATTTTGCAAGCATATTTCAGAATTAAAGTTAACTACTGACTACTTGTTAATGAAGAATAGAAATTGGGCTGCCAGGCAAGGGGGAAGGGTGGAAAACTAACTGCTGACAGTTGGCCTTGAGGGCTTGACCTAAAACTTAGAACAGAAAAACCTAAAATGAAATTAGTAAGTATAACTCCTAATACATAATGGTATTGTCTGGCTTGAATTTCATTTTCACCCTTAATAAAGTGGTTGAATTAGTCAACCAGGGGAATGAAAATTTGGTTAACCCTTACTCTGGATGATGGGGGACTGAACAAAACCACAAGGCGTGGAATTACACAGAACAGCATGTTGACTTCTTGATGAATCTCAAAAGCTAAGCAATTCTAAAAGAATCACAAAGCTTCCAAGTCTCCATCCATCCATATGAAACAAGCCTAGAATACATCTGTAACCCTCCCATTAAAAAATTCTGGAGTCAAGTGCAAATGAAATAACCACAGGCTGTTTATAACCCAATTGCAGGAAGCTGCATCCCAGGATGAAAAGCATCCTGGCTACAGACCTCACACCTGGCCTGGGGGTTGCTTATGCTTATTGGGGTGGGGGGGGGGGTTGGAGGGTACCTAAGCTGTGTGTAGGTGGAAAAATGATATATATATATATATATATATAAACACCACAATCTTCTCACAAATCATATGTAGGGAAGAAAGACACTGTCAGCAGAACTTTTCTGAGAGAAATCAAGAGTTAAGCCAGGACAACGGATTTAAAGAAAACGACTCCTCCCCTCACTCTCTACTATCCTCTGCCCAGACTCACTGGGATGAAAGGAACATATTCCAGGCACTTAATTGTTTTCACGTGTTCTGTCTATTTTGGGGAAATGTGGGCTCTTTAGAATGTTGAACTAATGTTATTTTTATTTTTCTTAAAAAATAAAAAGAAGATTTTGGAGGTATTTGCTACTGACCAGTCACAAATATAATGACAACCAACTTTTGTTACGTTATCATGATGCACTAGATACTAAACAAGGTAGATGTAGGAAGAGAAAATGAAAGCTAGAACCAGTCATCTGAGAATATATTACATTATCATATAGTTATATATATTGTTATGTATTATACTAGGTTATTATATCATATATACGTGTGTGATATGAGTATATATATATATATATATATATATATATATACACACACACATAGTGTATATATATGTGTGTGTGTGTATATGTGTGTATATATATCCTCTTAACTCAGTCTAGAAGTCAACAAAGCTCAGTAAAGGCCCCGAATGTTTTAATTGATAGAAAAGTGTGTCTTTCTCTTCCTTTTGTATTCGAAGGAAAATGAGTTGTGAAATATTTGTCTTTAACATCCTTTCCAGCTGTTTTCAACATAAAGACACTGTAAGTGGCATGCATTTCATTATTTCTTTTCAACTAGGAAGCTAATCTTCAATTCTTCAAGTTTCTCCTTTCAAATATGCATGTGACACAGCCCAAATGTTTACAAATAGCATGCCATTTTTTTTTTTAAATTCAAAACTGCACCCTCACTGATGGGAATGTGAGAATTTAAATAAATTTTTAATTAATATGTACACCTATAGGTGTGTGTATATATGTATGTAAGAAATCTTCCCACCTGGATAAACTCTGTATTGCATACAGAATGAATGACTGACTCCTAGAAACAGGCTTAAGACAATTATACAACAAGTTTTAAATCAGCTGATGTAAAAAATGTAACAGCACAGGTCACGACACATTCAATTACAAGAGGGCATCTCCTCTCTCCCTCCCCTACCCCAGGGCGGAGCACTAACATAAACTTGGATTTGATCACCTTCTAAATGACAAGGTAAAAATTCATCTAAGAACTCCCCACTCTAAACCTGGAGTAGAAAGAGGCAATTAATTCATGCCACCACAGGACATGGAGGCGTGGATTTACAATATTGTAAATAGAAACATTTGATTTCCAGACTCCCTATTGCAGATTTTTCCACCAGAAAGCCCATATGGCTCAACTTTTAATTACTTTGGCTAATGCTATATGTGTAATTCTGTGGTGAATGCTTAAGTGTTTCATTTCTGGTTTCCATGGCAACATTACATCAGATTGCAGACAGCTGGCTCCACAGTTTTAAACCATAACAAATTGACCAAGCCAAGACACAAAACTATAGCCGCTTTAAAGAGATAGTACCCCATTCGCCTGCCAGGGCGCTGAATGAGGAACCTAGGGGCCCGCTTGGCATGCGAAAGAGTGTGGAGCCTCCTCCCTTCTCAGCTTCTTTTGGAACATGTGCATCCTTGACACATCTGCAATGTTCTAATAGGAAAGACACGGAGCCAGCGTGGGGAACTTTTTATAACGCAGCTACGTTTGGATCTTCAGGGGGAAAAAAAAGGGGGGGGACACAATTAATAGCATCTGTAGATACAAAACTGTGTGCAGGAGCAAACCAAAGCCCCCCTCCCTGTTCCACATCAGCCTGTCACTGCAGGTCAGTAACAGAAACTTCCCTCCACCCCCTTAAGGAACCGTTCTTGCAAATTACCATGCATTAAGACAAACATTTTCCAAAAGCTGGGAGGCACATTTTTGCAGGCAAGGGAGTCATGTGCTGTCATAGGTTTAAGCAAACTTGCAAGGGCACCTTTTCCGGCACCGCTTGAGAGCATGCTAGGCACAGGGCTTCAGCTAAGCCGTTTGCAAGGCAAGCTCTGTTTGCTTCCTGGCTCCCAACACCCGGCACATTGTCCCTATTAACAGCCAGGCTAAGTCGACTGATTCCCACCAGCGCCATGCACATAATACTGGAAGATATTTAAGCAACTCTGAAAACCATTTTGAAATTGGAAACGTATTCGCTTGTTTAACCTACACGTCGGATTCTGGCTAGCCCGGTGCAAAACCAAGACAAGAATGCTTCCACTTCTGACACTCCAGTTTGTCAATGGCATTAACTTTAAAGCTAAGAGATCAAACTTCCACAGATCAGATGGAGCTTTAGGATCAATTCACAACTGAGCTGCAACCAGGTATGCCTCACCACTCTCATGCTCATCTACTCAGAAGAATATTCACTTTCCCTCCCAGGTCCATGCCTGATGTTAGGTGAGCATGCAGCAAAAGACCACTCAGATTTCCTTGAGGGAGGGAAGTAAACAAGGGAAGAAGGAGCAATCTAGAGGAATTTGAAAAGAGGGAAGCATCATAGCCAGGCGGAAAAAAAAAAAAAAAAGCTTTCTCTAAGTGATAGAAAACACATTTTTTTCTGTTGCCATGAAATATTCTCCAGCGAACTTACCGGCTTCGGCATTTAGCAGGCCTAAGGAGCAACTCTGAGAACGCCGGGTACCCCCCCCTCCCCACTTTGAGAGCGTCTCCTCTACGGTGCACCAGCTCTGTAATCTCAAAGTGAAGCTTAGGCGCTCCTGGAAGCTTGCTCTGGAGTTACATGATCCACGCACAGCTTAGGATCCGAAGGAGAGTGAAGACCCTGGATTCAATTAGCTGCTTTCTGCTTGCT